CACTAGTCTTTTTACTCTCTGTCTGACTCAGTTGATTGCGTTGGGGAAATAATCAGGGTTGGGTTTGATGTCATAGGAAGGTTCAGGCAGCCGTAAATGAAGGCTTCAAAAAATTTGAACATACGCAAAGGTTAACAAAGACGCTGACAGTATCATCATCCACGATTGCACACTCAACCTTGCTAAGCCAGTCCGGAACCTTGGGGTCTTGCTTGACTCTCAACTATCCTTTCTACCCCACATTCGCACCATGACCCCCTCTGCCTTCCCCCACGTCCGCAACTTCGCCCGGCTCCGACACTGTCTCACACCGCAGGCTGCCAAAATCCTCATCCAGAACTCTGCAGCCTGTATCCTCTCCCACACCAGGTTCCGTGACCTTATCACTCCCATCGTTGCCCACATCCACTGGCTTCCCATCACACAGAGGATACAGTTTAAGATCCTGGTCCTCACGTTCAAAGCCTCCCCCCCCCCCCCCGCCATGGTCTTGCTCCCCCCTTCCTCGCCGACCTCCTAGTCCCTATCATCCTGATCGCTCCCTCTGCTCAGGGGGCTCTGGCCTGCTTCATGTCCCCCGTTGGTTGCCCCACTATCGGCGGGCAGGCCTGCCGCCACTCTGGAACTCCATCCCGCAGTCCCTCCGTCTCGCCCCCTGCCTCGCCACCTTCAAGACGACTTTAAGTCCCTCCTCTTCGAGTGAGCTTTTGATCTTCCCGCTTCACCCCCTGCCCTCCCTCCTCCCCACCCCGACCCTCGGCTGCCGCGATTGGCCCACAAAATACACAGTCACTCACCTTTATAGTGTACTCCGTGAAGTGCTTTGAGACGTGATGAAGACGTGATAAGGCGCTATATCACATGCAAGGATTATTATTATTATTTCAGCGCACCCAGAATTTGGCTTTTATAGCACGCATAGCCAAAGTACAAAGTGACTACAATTTGCAGTGAATCTTGACGCTTTGTGACGTCTTCCTGAAGTGAAAGCAGCTCATAGCGCATACAAGAATTATTATTAACAATAAATAAAATTGTGGACGCTTAAAATTCATCATGAATTCTATCAAACCAAACTCTGTTGGAATACCTCCCTCTAGTGGCAAGGTGCGAGAAAAGGTGAGGTGTGTTGCAAGGTGGGGTTGACCCAAGGCGCGGCCGAAGAGACTGTGGGATGAAGTTCCAAAGGGTGGGGTCACAGAAGGCCCGACCGCCGATGGTGGGCTGGGCGGTGGATGTGGAGCAGGCCAGAGCCCGCTGAGTGGAGGGAGCGGTCAGGTTGATGTGGAAATAGCAGGTCACAGAGGTAGGGAAGAGCAAGGCAAGGATTTTGAATTCCATCCTCTGGGGGGATGTGGAGCCGGGCGAGGGTGGGGTGATAGGGTCACGGAGCCTGATGTGGGAGAGGACACAAGCTTCAGAGTTCTGAACAACCTGTAGCTTGTGGAGGGAAGAGTTGGGAAGGACGTCAAGTAGAGAGTTAGCATTTCTGAGCCTAGATGTAATGAATGACTGGATGAGGGTCTCAGTGGCCTGAGGGGAGAGTCAGATCCAGGTGATGTTGCAGAGGTGGGGAAAGGCAGAGAGGGTCATGGCACAGATGTGGGGTAGAAAAGACAGTTGAGGATCAAACAAGATGCGAAGGACTGGCTTAGTAAGTTGGAGTGTGCGACCATGAATGGTAAAACTGTCAGTGTCTGAGGTGTGGAGGTGTTGACGGGAGCCAATCAGGAGAGCCTCAGTCTTATTGACGTTCAACTGAAGAAAGTTAGCTCTCATCCAGGACTTGATGTGTGACAGACATTCTGTCAGGACAGCGGTCCTGGAGTCGAGGGTGGAGGCAGAAAGATAGAGTTGGGTGTCATCCGCATACATGTGGAAGTTGACCCCATGTCTGCGGATGATGCCACCAAGAGGGAGGTTGTAGATATTGAAAAGGAGGGGACCAAGGAGAGAGCCCTGAGGAACGCCGCACAAGATGGTGCGGGGGCTAGAGGAGAAGCTTTTGTGGAGATAAAGCGGAGACTGCACGAAAGGTAAAATTTGAACCAGTCAAGGACAGGGCCGTGAAGGTTGAGCTGAGACAAGAGACGGCGGAAGCCGATAGAAGAGTTGACAGTGTCGAAGGCAGCACAGAGGTCAAGGAGGACGAGGAGACAATGGGTGGTGGGGGGGTACCTGGTCAAAGATGGACATAATGTCATTTCTCACTTTGACCATGGCTGTTTATGTGCTGTGAGCCCGATGGTGGATTCCTAGGCTGGAGCAGGGGGAGACTTTGAGATGGTCAAGTGGAGATAGGAAGCTAGAAGCATAGTGGGAAAGGAGGACCGATTGGGACTAAAAGAGGGTGGAGGGTGCGGGTACGGTCATTTTGGGACAAAGCAACTTAGGTTGTAAGAGGCAAATCCATTCAATCCCAATTACTGTTAATTACTGTATGTTTTTAATCCCTATTATTTTCTTCAGTGCTCCAATTATGCTTTCTATGCAATGTTGGGTGATATAAACTGCAGGAAGCAAAGCAGTCCAGCACAAACTGACCTGTAAGCTTTCATTGGATAAAAGTGTAGAGATACCTGTGTCATGTGCACATTGCTAAAAGCATTGTGGCTCATTCAAACAAGACAGCAATTTATTTCTCATAACGATTTTTATTATTTGCGATCATAAATATCTTAAGCATTGAACCGAGCCAAGAAAGTATATTAATTATATAATCAGTTAAAAAAATATGGTATTTACTTGTGGTATCAATAAAGTTTCTTCTAAAAATCATCAAAATCACACTCTATTAATTTGTCTTTTAGATTCCTTCATAAGTAAGCAATGGAGCCACAATGTTTACTAATAATTGTTACATTATAGAAGTTGTAGTCTAATAATAATGAACATTAAACAAATGTAAGATGGAGAAAGTACTGACAGTCATGGGATAAGGGCACATCTGGTTTTCTCTGTTTTTGAAAGAATAACAGGACAGCTTGGAAAAGGGCAGAGGGTCACCTCTAATCAGTAAATGATAACAAGCCCACAGAGGGAACGGTCCAAGGTACCGGTCGACACATGATCTCGACTTAGCAATAAGTCGCTAGATTCTGACAGGGCTTGCCAAGCGACAAAAGGCAACCCTCAAGAATAGCAACTAATGCAAGTTGCTTAAACTAGATGACCTTGGTACCATCCCAGGATACTGACAAGAAATAACCAGTCACTTAAAAAGGAATATACTAATGATCCCACATAACAAAACAACAAGCACCAGATACAGCCCTAAACTGATCAATCTCCTATCCTAGACAGGACAAAGGGAAGACCTTGTGGAGACTCAGTCAGGCTGACACCAAGCCAAATGATTGATTAACCTGAGTACGTGACTGTATCAGAAGTGGGTAGAGGGGCCCTAGGAAGGCCACTTGGAGAAAGGGTATAACTATGGCACTCTAGATGAGAAGAACAGGAGAGAGAAAGACCAGTGTGGAGAGGTCCCTTTAAGAATCACAAGGAAGGTGTTCCGTGACGCTGTGTGACTGTCTTCAAAGACTAGTAGTATAATTTGTTAGACATTTGTAGTAACTTGTTAATGCATGTGTTCACTCTGTTCATAATAAACCTTGCTGCACCATATTTGGATTGTCGAATCATATTTCGAACTACGGGATCGGAAATCCCAACATAATGTTCATACATATTGATTGAAGATTGTTTGAAGAAATTTTTTGCATTCATCTCCGGAATGATGTTCAGGCAGTCATGGGAAGTTATAATAATTTTGGAATGAAAGATAATTTTGGAATCAAAGGTGAAAATACCAGGAATCAACAGTGTTCTATAAATATTAACCTTGCTTTACCATTTGAGGGATAGATCTGAACTGTTCATTTGTTGCATTTCATTTGCACCCAGTTATATCAATGATGGAGTTTCATTCTGGCATTTCTTGCTATTCAGATGTGAATAGTAGTTTCCAAGAGGGTTTTGCATCACATCATAGATGCCATTGATTTTCGAATACATCTGCAAAATAGTATATTTGTATTTCAAGAGCACTGAAAGGACAAACAAGATTCTGAATTTTCAGCTTCACAGCAGCAAAAACTTACATTTATAGAGGTGGAAACGTTTAATGTGAGGTTTGAGTCATGATTGGAGCAGCTGAC